CATTTGCTAACTGTATTCTTGCATACATATTCCCAGGCTATTCATCCAGCTCAACATCAATAACTGTCAACATATGACCAACAACCTTATCAAACTGATAAAGCAAATTACACAGCACTAGATATGATGAATGAAAGATAAAGATATGAAATCATTACCTCTGCCCTACATAGATGGGAAAATGCAACCACAGCATATAGACACAGTGTTATGTATTGCACTGCTGAAACATGACAGGCATATTTCATGCAGGTCTCAAAGCGTGACTTTTAGTTTTTTTTTAATCAAAGTCATTCAGCACTGATGTGTTTGTGCAGCTTTTCCTATTTTAAAAACGTCCCAAAAACAACACGATACACTTGGGAGTTGGGGGGAGGGTTTCCAAGCATCTGGTATATTTTTAGATGTGTGCACTTGTTTATAACTACAAATACACACACAAAAAAAAAGTCTGAGAAGACACAGAAGCATGAACTTCATGTGATGCTATTACGACAGCCACTCTTTACATAAAACCAACATAACATGTAAGACAGTTAATGTAGACCTGGATCAAAGCCATGCTAAAAAACAGCACCAGCTTAGGATAGCTGTTCAAGTTACAGACTTGTATAAACACTCAACGGTTCCATATTACACTGCTATGCTATATATATATAAAAGACCAAATCCACGTAGCTTAGGCTGTGCTCATTTCCACCGGGTAATCCTGTGAGCCTGGAACTGGGTCAGCCTTGTGTGCATATATATTATTGTCCTTAAACACAGCTTGGTTACTCTGTCACGCGCTTCATTCACACGACACTTTGTGATGCTTTCTCCCTCGATTCCTAATAACATAAATAAAACCCCGAAGCCTGATGGGACAGCAGGAAATTCCAGCACGGCTGATGAGAAAATATGGCCATGCCTGTGCCAAAGCACACACGAAGATGCTATTTGTTGACATTTCATTTTCGCTGCTCTGTTAAAAGGCTGTCCGCAAGAAGCGATGCAGCTTTACTTCTGCGTTTGTAATTTTCCAACCAGACTGAGCTGACACCGAGCTTTACATAATAATAACAGGGAGGACGTTAATGCCTTAACTACACCTTTTCACATGACTATGAGTGAAGACACATGTTGAATGTTGGATGACAAACAGTGCGTATGTCATCACTGTTGTCAAACCAAATCTTAATAAACCCTATTCAAACACGGTGAACGTCTGTTCGGGATGTTTATTGCATAACATCTTTGCGGACGTCGCACTCGTTTTACATTGTGGGCCACATAGGGATCACTTTGATGTTAATCCCAGAGATATCTTAATATAAAAAAGACATACAATTCCAACAGCATGTGTCAGTTTCTCTACACGCTAAAAAAAATAAATGTTTGAAATTACAGATAATGTTTTAGTTAAAAGACTAAAATCTCTACCCTCCTTCACTTGTTCCAAAGCCATCCAGTTGGCCAGATTGGAGTCTTTCCCAGGCCAATTCTAGCCCCTAGATCTTATGTTTGATACCTCTGCTCTAAACTTTTTTTGTAACATTAAATTGTTGCTTCACAGGCCCAGTGCTTGGGACTTTGTTTTAAATTAAATGACAACCCAGGACATCATGGGTTTCTATGCAAGTACAAAACTAAGAGGATGAGATTAAAAACCTGAATAAAAACACACAGTGGGGGTACAGCTAAGACGTTTGTGACTGACAGGTTCAAAATTGACAGAGAACAGTGTCTGCTGCTGATACTGCGTGACAAACTGTTGCAGTAGATGCAGCAAGCTTTGACAGTGATGCCTGATATTAGCCAACGAAACAGAAAAGCACTTACCTCATGCAAATTTAGCTCTTTGACTTTTTCCTTCTGAATGACCTAAAGGTGCAACAACAGAAGAAGAACTATTAGTCAGATTAACACTGTATGAGAATAATTATAACCAGTTCCTGAACAGAAACATCACAATATTAGACACTAAAATGTGTGATTAACAATCAGAGAGACACAACGCACAAAACATGTGTTTACACTCTGTGATGCCATGTTTGGATGCTTTTTGCATGCTGGTAATACATAGTATTACATAATGTAAGTTTGTTAACGCCTTCCATCTCTCTTTCTTTCTTTACACACTATTATCTGCTCACATCTTTCACATAACCGTGTCTTTTCCAGCGCTTTACTCTTATCCGGAAGTGCTGGACGTGCACGCGTGCTTACAAAAAACACAAAGCCTTTAAAATTCTTGCAGCTCCCTAAGGAGTCAGCAATGGGAATTTTACATGATGGCCAATGCACAGCTGATACAAACTAGACACTGCAATGATACTTCATTTCTGCTGTGCATTTAGCAACAGATGATTTCCTATCTCTGAAGTGTGTGTGTGTGTCTGTGCTTTTTCTTACTTGTTTGTAAGCATATAGCTCTTTGTGCGCCTGGTGCCGTAACCTGGGGAGAAGTAAAGACAAAACACCTTTTTGATTAATAATTGGCCTCATTCACTTGACTCTATAACACAGAAACAATCCACATGTCCTGAAAAAAAAATTCCTAGAGTCAGTCTACTCTAGTTTATCAGCAGGGGTGCTTTCATTAAAATGATAAACACTGTAATAACTTGGTGTAAATAACTAGTTCAGAAATTAATTCGCTAAGAGACAGAGCAGTGCGCAACCATGAGATATGTTTGGGTTGTGCATTTTTCTCGTGAGTGCACGAGTCCTGCTTCTGGCAAGCTTCACCCCCTCACACAGGGTAAGTAAAATATTTCTAAAGCAACGTGTTTTTAAATTTTTTTGACTAGCAATGCAGAAGCTGAGAGCAGGGAAGAGAGTCTGGAGAGATGGAGGTATGCAATGGAGAGGAGAAAGAGTAAAGGCAGCAGAAGCGAGATAGAATACACGTGTGTGAATGAGAGGGCAAGAGCAGGAAAGGAGACCATGCAAGGATGAAAGGCAGTGAAGATCGATGAGTTTAAATACCTGGGGTCAACCATCCAAAGAAACAGACAATGGATAAGAGAGGTGAAGAAGAGAGTGCAGACACGGAGATGTAGTGAGACCTACTATGATGTATGATTTGGAGACGGTGGCACGGACAAAAAGACAGGAGGCTAAGCTGAAGATGCTAAGTTTTTCACTGGGAATGACCAGCAGGGATGAGAAACGGGTACAGAGTTTGGACACAAAGTTGAAGCGGCAAAGCCGAGATGGTTTGTTGAAAAGGAGGATTAACGGATATATTCATAAAAGGGTGTTGAAGATGGAGCTGCCAGGCAGGAGGAAAAGAGGAAGATCACAGAAGTTCATGGATGAGCAACAGAGGACATGCAGAGGGTTGATGGAGGCAGACGAGTCGCTGTGGCGACCCCTAAATGGAGCAGCGAAAGGAAAGAAAGAAGACGATGAAGGAGAACGCAGCAGTAAGCAAATTACATATTAACAGATACTCTTGGTTTCCTGTCAAAACAAGCACTGAACCTAAGGTAAAATATCAACTCACATCACCAAAAACACAGCGGATCATACATTAAAAGCATTACTGCAGGTTCCTGAGGCACTCTATAAAAGCACAACAAGAGTACCGGTCGATACAACCCGAGTTTAAGCTACAAAAAACATTCAGACAACAGGAAGAACACTGGATAAGAGGTTCTAGGTACTGAGAGGGAGAATAGCATATGCAAAAACAAACAAATAAATAAATGAAATAAAAAATTAGGGAAGGAAAAACAGAGCAAAAGAGATAGGAAAAATTCATAGGTTTGTAAGATTTACCTCCATTACAAGTAACCTTAACCTCTCGCAGCAGAGTGAGAGGGATCTGTAAAACAAGCAGCACAGTCTAGGAGAGAAACTGACATTTTGAAAGAGGTCAGCAGGTAAAGGTGCAGAGACTCCCAGGGGTAGGGGACAAGATCATGGGAGGGTGGGTCATAGGCGACTGATGGGGGTGGGGGTGGGGGTGCTCATTAGCCCACAAGTACAATGTAAAAGTGGGCAAAAGTGGGAGAATACTTAATATGAAAACCAGGTGTCAAATAGGATAGAATTACGCTGCAGTCAGTGCCACCTACATAAAAACATGTGTCATCTGCCCTGTGGTATCATGAGCACGTAATGAATATTATAAACTGCAGTAATGACTAACAGATTCAAATATAGTTGCCGCATTTGTTCAGAGCGACTTTTAGTGCTCCTTTTCCACGTTACAGAAACACCCAGTACTTAAGACTCTTTGAATGTTTGTGCAAACTGAACTGCATATTTCGCACCTGTGTGTGTATGGATTAGAGACTCGCTGAGAGATGTGGTTGCGTTTCTCTGTGAGAGTCTGCCTTCTGTCAAAATGTATCTGCGAGTATATGTCCGCTGGAATCTTGCGAGTGAACTCAAACGTGTTACTTCATCTCTCCTTTCTCGCCCCTGCCGGTGATGCTTTACTGCACAGAAACCTTAAGATTCCCCCTTCATGGTGGTGTGAGCCGTGTTCACAGAGCTCCACAAAGTATTTCCCAAATATGGAGCAATCGTGTCATTTTTTTTTTTTAAATTATCGGACACCATTAGAAAATTTATACATATACTCATAACTGATTCACCCTTTGGGAGACTGCATCTTTAGAAGTATTTTTTATGGAGCCAAAATTGCTCATTTGCATTTAGATAGTGAACCTGGCAATCTCAGCTTTTAGTACTGAATCATGGTACTGCATCAAAGTCATTAAGCGTCTCTTTACAGTTAGATGAGGAATTGTAAGGACACAAGAGGAGTTAATCTACTTACCATTTGCCCTGCAAGACAGGACATGACAAGACGGCGAGGGGAGAAATTTTTGGGCAACTGCTGCTTCTCACTGTTTTAGATAAAAAACGCTGGGCATTATTTGTGTTCAGTCTGCTGCTGCTAGGATAAAACCCCTGTTGCAACAGCAGCCGGGACAATTTGATTAGGCCAGTCGGCTTACAAAAAGAGCTAGCAAGGGAATGGAATCATGTCCACACTAATACGTTTTCATTTTAAAAAGCAAAACTTTCTGGATGTTTATGGCTAGTGTTCACATGGCCCTGACTCCTACAGCAAAGTTCTGAAAATGCTGCTGGACACATCTTAGCTTGTGCTTTTTTATAATTCAAACTAGGAGCGCCGCAGATCAAACATAGTTTAATGTCAAGTCCAGCTAATTAGGATCTTTTAGCTAACGGCTCTGCTAGGTCATTCCTAGAATAGCTCAGTGTGAAAAGGCTGGGGATGTTTTAAACTCCCCAAAAGAAACATCCTGTTTTGTTCTTCTGTTAAATGAACATTACGCTGTCTCTTCACATTACAGACAAGTGGGACTTACACCTTTTTCTGCCATGCACCAACATTACTGCTATCTTTCTATTAACTAGCTACAGCCGCTAACTCAATGATAACTTAACGGAAAAGACATGTGGCTGTGTGGTAACATTTAACTGTGTGCACTGGCCTGGTTAATATGTACGTTAACATTTGGATACTTGTCAGTGTCTCAGCTGCTTTGCCAAGTCTGTTGCGTTGCTGTGGCTGCGTGTCCGTGAAGATCGCACCATTAGGATGATTGCAAACGAGTATCTAAATTTTGGTACTAAATGCTATAGTAAGAATTGGCCTCATCTGGACAGCCAGACACGCATTTGGAAGCAGTTAGTATTTGCTGTCCTCTACCTCATGACCTTCTCTAGAGAACAAAAAGACATCAGCCCTGGCTAACTGGACACTTCAACATGGATTATGAATCACAACACGTTCACGCCACTTCTGTCGACACAAACAGTTATGCAATGTACGCTTTTAACCATTTCAGTAAGTCCAGAGATTGTTTTCGTAACAACGCTGAAACACTCATCTGTTTAGGGATGGGTTTTTTTTTTTTTGTCAAAAGCAGCGTATTAAAATGAAAACGTATTAGTGTAGATGTAGCTGGTAAGTAGCAATCTCTGATTTTTCCTTTAAAGGAAATAATTACACTAAAGATGCTGTGCTTACAAAGGGGCTTAAAAAAAGATTAGTTACAAGCAACATGTTTAAACACCAGTGGAAGTTTAATGCATATCCTAAAGATTCAGGTTAGGTTAAGTGGCAAAAAAGCAGCAAATAAATAAATGAATAAAAAAAGTTATTACTAGTTTCTTTGACATGTAGTGCCATGATCATCATAATGTATCAAAAGCCACTTTGGATATCAGCCATTTTTAAATATTTTTTTTAAGATATCAAATTGTTATATATGTATATCAGAGAAACTTTCTCCAAACTGTGCTGTTGAATCTTTTTTCCCCACTTGTGAGAAAACTATTAGCAAATGCTTATTAACACACATTTCTCAAAAAAAGGAAGAAAACAAGAGCTTTTTTCTTTCCCCACAAAATCTCAGCCTAAAGCGGTAGTGACAAGTGCCATACAGTATGTTGTTAAAGGCTACAAGGTCATGTTAACCAGCTCGCACGTATGCACAAGCATTTCCATGTTTCTGAATTACTAGTTATAAAGAACTCATTAGCATTAAGCCATTTTCAGTACTCAACATCTCCTCACATTATGCAAAAATATGGACAGAGCTAAAGTGAAACAGTACAAGGGGAATTCTGAATGAATGTGAGGCAAACAGACCTAGAGAAAGAGCTATCGTGCCGTTGCATAATGACAGTTTTCAAGTGTCAGATGAGCACTGGCGCTGATGGTTTGGTGGTCAAGTGGTACGCTGTGTTCTAAATCACCATCGTCTTTGAAAACATGCTTCAACCAACCTCTTCTGGACAGAGCTGTGTGAATTACATATGTGCGTGCAAATTCCAAGCCTGCTGGGGCTGATTTACAGGAATGGGAGAGCAATGATTGGAATTTGCTTTCTAATTTGCACATGTAAATGAATTTGTAAGTTAGGCAAATGTGGGAGCCTTCTCAGGTTGACTGATTTACCAATACCAACACAAAAATCAATAAATTAATGTAATAGATAAAGAAATTAATGAATTAAAAAATACAACAATGGGTCTCTTTAAATGATTAATAATGTTTGTATCTTCCATCCTAGCTTTTCAGAGACCACATGCGGTACTAGCACCAGATTAATCTGATGCACA